TAGCAGGATGGCTCAGCTAAAAACAAACAAACAAACAAAAAAACCCAAAAACCAAAAAACAAAAAACAACAACAAAAAAGAAATGTTAGATAAATTGCCCATATAGCTAGTAAAAAGCAGAGCTGGAAATTAAACCCAGGTTTACCAAGTGCTCAATTCTAAGCCCTTTCCACTGTACCATACTTTGAATCTGAGTGGGTAACTTGTATGTTGGGACCTTCTTTATTGAGGCGTATGATTTAGTTTCAGATTTTAGTGCTTTGAAAAAGCTTAATTTCATGAATGGGCTACTTAGGTAGTTTTGTGATGATAATTTTTTTTTTTTAAGCAATCTTTTGGATGGACTTATAATCACAAGTTCCTCCTTGTAAAGGAAAGTAAAGTAAAGGAAAGAAACAGTGAAATCAGTAAACTTGAACTTTCTGTAGAAAGTGTATTTAATACAGATGTTGAATCATATGAGTTTATTGGGTTACCTGTGGAGTTCAGATATCAGATGTTTTTGATAAGTCATCGTAAGACTGTTAATTGTTCCAGTAAGAGGCAGAATCTTAGCCTGATGGAAAGTTACTCTATTTGCATAACCTCCATGACAAACATATTTTTGGAATCTTCATGCTCTTTACCCTGGTGAAATATAGTTTTGTACTCTGCCAGAAAAAAAAACAACAACTTCAGTGAGCACTCTGGTTATCTCCTGAAACTTTTCCTGGGTGTACCAGCTTAATCTTGTTAAGCAGGCAAGACATTTTAGAATAGTTAATTTATTCCTTTGTTCTTTTGTTTCGTCATTCGTTAATTCAATAAATATTTATTGTGTATTGGGTATATAGCAGTGAATAAGATACATAGATTTCTCAGGGAACTTTCATTCTAGTAGCAGACAGATAAATAACATAAATCAGCAGATGATAACACAGTTTTAGGTGGTAAATGCTATAAAGAAATAAAACAGTAATTTGATAGAAATTATGGGGGACATTAGATAAGGTAGTCAGGAAAAGGCTTTTCTTGAGAAGTGGACATTTGAAATGAATCATGAGTAAAATTAAAAAAAATAAAGAGGAAGCCGTTCACAGAGCTGGAGGAAGAGTATTCTAGACAAAACACCAAGGGCAGACGCCCTAAAATAGAAACAAAGGAAGTAAGTATGGCTAGAGTAGTGAGAGTGATGGGGGCGAATGGTATAAGGGGTGGGAGGCCCAGATCATGTAAGACTTTGTAAGGTTTTATTTTGGGTTTTATTCTCAGTGCAGTGGGAAGTCATTGGAGGGTTTAAAAAGATAAGTAATGTGATTTACATACATTTAAAAAGATCATGATATTTGTTGAATAGACAATAAATTGTAAGGCAGAAAAAATTGTAAGTAAACCATTCTGGAGGTTCATCATTCAAGAGATATTTATTGATCACCAATTGCTGCATTCCAGACAGTATTCTAGGTGTTGGGAATATACCATTAAACCGACCAAGTCCCTGCCCACATGGGGCTTACATTCTAACGGGAATAATCAGACAATAAGCCAATGAGTAAGTTGTGTAGGTGTTACGTAGCTAGTGAGTGACATGTACTCTGCAGAAATGTAAGGCAGGGATAGAGTAATGGAGCTGCTGTTTAGATTTGGTGGTCAGGAAAGTCCTTTTGAAAAAGGAGAGGTGATATGTGAGAAGAGACCTGAATGAAGTGAGGCTACTGTCGTAAATTAGGCCAGAGCTGTGGCCTGGTCTAGAGTGATAGCAATGTAGACATTTGAAGTAGAGCCCGTGAATTTATAATGTGCTGGTGAATTTATATGGGGGATGGAATCAAGAATGAGGAATCAAGAATGACTCCTGCACTTTTGGTTTAAGCAACTAGGGAAATAATGGTGCAGTTTACTGAGATGAAACCAGGGGAGGATTGTGGCTGGGGACAGGGAATCAAAATTCCTATTTTGTTTGTGTTGAGTTTTGGTCTCTAGTAGATACCCAAGTGTGGAAAAGGGAAGTAGGCATGAATGGGTGAGTTGATCTAACCAAACAGACGTGTTGTGCTAACAAGTAATGTTTAGTGTGTGTGTACTGAGATGAGAGTATCTGGAAGAAGAGTGCTGTAGGGAACAGCCTAACCTAAGGCCTGGGGCCCTCCAGCATTTACAGCAACAGTTCTCAGTCCTTTAAAACCCTCTTTACACTCTTGGGCCGGTCAAGTGGCTCAGCTGGTTAAGAGCTTGCTCAAGAGCGCAAGTTCTGAGCAACAGGGTCGCTAGGGTCTCCAGTTCGATTCCCACATGGGCCAGTGAGCTGCACCTGAGCTGCGCCTGAGCTGAGCTGCCAACAGGTGGCAGGATGGCTCAGCTGGTGAGAGCACGTGCTCCTAAAAACAAGGCTGCCTGTTTGATGGTGGGCTACACCTGCCCGCAACTAAGACTGAGCTCGGCTCTTTGAGCTGAGCTGCCACCTGGATGGCTCAGTGGATAGAGCATGCACTCTTAACAACAAGGCTGCTGGTTCGACTCCCACATGGGATGGTGGCTATGCCCACCCGTAACTAATTGAACTCAGCACCTTGAGCTAAGCGGTGCAACTAGACTTGGAGCTGAGCTAGCTGCGTCCTCCACAACTAAGACTGAAGGACAACTTGGCTGTGTCCCTTCCCCAATTCCCCAACACTGTTCCCCTCCCCCAATTCCCCAATAAAAAAATCTTTAAAAAAAACACCTTTTTGCACTCTTAAACTATCAAGCACACAAAAGAGGTTTTGTTTATGTGTATTATATCTATTGGTATATATCATATTACAAATGAAAACTTAGAGGACCTCTCCTTTTGGCCAAACTAGAATAACAAGGACCTGGTACACCCACCCCCTCAGGAAATACCAAACAAAGAAATAAAATTCAAGTCTTAAAAATCGTAAAGAATATGAGTTGGTTGAACATGGGCTTATTCAGCAACTTCCGCAACTACCTGAGCCACTGCAAACTTAAATTTTAAGAGGTAAATTCGGGGCATCTAACCAGCAGAACTGAGATTTTATTTTATTTTATTTTATTTTATTTTTTTCCAAATGACAGAACTCCTAAAGAGGTGAAGATATGAGCAGGAACAGGTTTATTGGTCATAATCTCTTGGCATTGTTCTTTTTTTCCTTTTTTAATTAAAGTATAGTTGACACAATATTGTATTAGTTTCAGGTGTACAACCTAGTAAGTTGACATTTACATATCTTAAGAAGTTGTTCATTTTTTGAGCAGGAATAATTGGGCTTCTTGGGCCAAAGCCAGAGCATTGGCTGCCATTTACTATTTGGTTTGCAGCCTAGGTGTAGGAGTCATTAGATTTGAAAAAGAAAGCCTCTTAAGCCTGGGATTTTATTACTTCAGATGATAAAGTCACTAAGCTTCCTTAACTGTTAATGGGATCACTTTAGCAGGTTTCTTGTGTAATTCTTAAATCCACAATCCATGGCTACACAATGACATGGCCTTACTTGGAAAATTGCCTAGACCAGGTCTAACTGAATTACGGAAACCCCATGGCTCTGTGTTACCCTTGTCTAACAGAAGCTACAATGGTATTAGCTCGCTGACTCTGGGGAGCTGAAGAAGTGACAAGTAATTATGCTCAAGTGCATGGTGTTAAATAGGACCTGAAAGAAATCACCTACTTTGTATATTTGATAGGATTGCACCTGTTTCTAAAGAGCTTTTTCCAGTAATCTTTATGGTCAGGTTATATTTCTTTTGCTGAAATTTTAACCAGTCTTGTATGTAAAATTTACCAGACATTTTACAACCCAACACGTTAGTTTCATTGGGAGTTTCGTACACATACCATACACATAAATATTTCGAAATTAGGAGCAGTGTCTCCCTAATGTCCAAAGAACAGTCATATTTGTTGATCAGGAATATTGAAGTGAATGTGCAAATGGAGGCAAAACTGGCTTCTTCCACAGTGGGGGAGGGGAGTCGATTGAAACTTCACCAGCCAGGATTTTGCATGTCTCAACAACAGTTATTTTCCACTGTAATCAGTTATCTACAATTTACAGAGCTGTAGCACAGCCCACAGGCAGCAGATGACTGGAGTCCTGAAAGGGTTGCCCTAGAGAGTGCATAGTTTTCACTCGATTTTTCCCTACACCTACTTATTCTTAGTATGATGCTATAGGAAATATGTGGGTTACTATATGAAAATAGTCTCAAAACTGTTTTAAGCATTTGCAATATGATTCTCAAATGTATTTTTACAGAATTCGTGACATCATTTTGAACCATGGCTTCAGTGTTTCAGGTTGCTAGATAAGAGAGTGCAACCTCAGCTATTTGACCATGGTTTAGAATCTCAAATAGATGTCCTCAAGTCATGCTCTAATGATGACTGGCTACTCTTCGTTGAGTAAATTAACATACATGACTAATGATGACATAGAGGTCAGGCTTAAATTATTTTCAGAGGTGTGGAAGTAGTAGTAAATTCAGATTGGTGTGATTTTAACATCCTAAGATGAGGTGAACTGGTGGTAGAGGTAAGGCCTTAGATTGTTAAAGGGGTTCAAATGTGAAGGAAAAGGGAGAATTGAAGTAGATAGCCTTTGTTTTTATAGCCGAACTTTCCTAGAGGCTTCTGCTTTTATGTATTTAATTAACATTCTTCATCTTAGTACTCTTTTATGTCTTGGAAGTTAGAATGGTGTCTTGGATATATTGAAGAAAGCAGAATTTTTCATGCCCTATTGAAAGCCTTCCTAGAGTATGGGGTTTGGGAAGAAACCTACAGTAGCAAACTAGGAATGTCATGTTTCCATGTTTGTCTCTGGGGAAGAGAAGATAAAAAGAAAAGGCTTCCACAACCTCCTAGCCCCTTGTGCTTGCCAGTTTTTAAATTTATTTCCAGTAATTCCCAAGGTGTGATTCATGAGCAAGCATGTACACTTCTTGATACTAAGTTTGTCTGTTATAGACTTACAACTTTTATAGTCCTTGCTTTACTGAGAAGATCTCTTGAATTTCAGGTAAAAGGTATCAGAATGAATTTCAGCGTCTGGTGGATAAGGCCAAAAAAGGGTACAGTAAAACTGTTGGAATGTCAAAAGAAAAAGTACAAAAAGAAGACGAAACTACAGAAAAGCCATTATCTGTATGCATGGGTAAGAGATTTTAATTAAAAACAGAAATAACGTTGAATTTCACTTTTAATTAAAAAGAAAATTAAACCAATGAAATTTACTTTGGACTTATTAGGTATTTGAAATGGTAAAAAGTATTTTTAGACATAGAGCAGTTGCTGAATGGAAACTAGGTTTATAACTGGGAAAAATGATTGGGAGAATGTCCTGAAGACACAGTTTCTAAAATCTGTCTTCCTTTCAGTTAATGATAAATCAGACGTTTCTTAGCTGTGTAAGCTTGGAGGATGTTTTCTAGGTGTAGGATTTATTGCCGCAGATTCTTAGCTATCCTACAAAGAGAATAAATTATTTTTGTTATAGGTCACGTATTTATTTTGGACAGAATGTTCTGCTAAAAATCTAAAGCTAATGTACTTGGTATGCCAATACATGGCACCTTCCTTAATTTTGACCCATTTTAAAATTTGAGATTAATATTATAGTTCTGTTGCCTGGGCTTTAGACCAGTAAACAAAACAATAATAATGGAGGAAAGCGCACAAGAAAATTCCTTGTTTTTTTCCTTATTGTGGTGAAATATAAATAACATAAGATTCATTATTTTAACTTTTCATAAATGTACAATTCAGTGGTGTTAAATAGATTCACCATGTTGTATAACCATCAACACCATCTACACCCAAAACTTTTTCATCATCTCCAGTGAAAACTCTGTATCCATTAAATAATAACCCTCTTTCCCTGTCCCCCTAGCCCCTCATAATCTCTATTCTACTTTCTGTGTCTGAATTTGCTTATTCTAGGTACCTCGTGTAGGTGAAACCATGTAATATTTGTCCTTCTGTGTTAGCTTATTTCATTACAAATGATATTTTCAAGGTCCTCAAGTTGTAGCATGTGTCAAAACTTCATTACTTTTTATGGCTCAATAATATTCTTTTGTATGTATAGACCATATTTTGTTTATCCATTCATCTGTAATGAGTTATCTTCACCTTTTGGCTATTGTGAATAGTGCTGCTATAAACATTGGTTTTCAAATATCTGTTCAAGTCACTAGTTTCCTTTTTTTTTTTTTGTATATATAACTAGGAGTGGAATTTCTGCTTCATTTGGTAAGCCTATATGTACATTTAGAAAAACCACCAAACTATTTTCCATAGTGGCTGCATTGCACCATTTGACATTGCTACCAGCAATGCTTGAGAATTCCAAATTCTCTATATCCTTGCCAACACTTGTTTTTTTATAGCCATTGTAGTAGGTATGAAGTGATATCTCATTTTGGTTTTGATTTTTGCCTTTTCCTAATGCCTGGTGATGTTGAGCATCTTTTCTTATGGTTACTGGCCTTTTGTTTGTCTTCTTTGGAGAAAAGTTAAAATCCTTTATCCATTTTTTCAGTCGGGTTTTTTTGTTGTTCTTGAGTTTTAGGAGTTCTTTATATATTCTGGGTATTAATGCCTTATTATATATATGATTTGCAAACGTTTGAAAGCATTTTCTCAGTAGTTTTTTTTTTGCTTTCTTGATAGGATCTTTTGATGCACATAAGTGCTTAAATTTGATGAAATCCAATTTATCAATTTTTTCTTTTGTTGCCTTTGATTTTGGTGTTATATCAATGAAGTTGTTGCCAAATCAGTGTCATGAAGATTTTTCTTTATGTTTTTTCCTAAGAGTATTGTAGTTTTAGCTCTTATATCTAGGTATTTGATCCATTTGGAGTTAATTTTTATATATGGTGTAAGGTAAGGGTCCAACTTCATTCTTTTGGATGTAAATAATCCAGTTTTCTGAGCATCCTTTGTTAAAAACACTGTCCTTTCCCCATTGAATGCTCTCGACATCCTTGTTGAAAATCAGTTGATCACATATTGGGGGGTTTATTTCTGTACTCTGTGTTCTATTCTGTTAGTCTATATGTCTGTCATTATGCCAGTACTATATTGTTTTAATTATTGTAGCTTTGTAATAAATTTTGAAGTCGGGAAGAATGAGTCCTCCAACTTTATTCTTCCTTTTTCAAGATTTTTTTGCTATTTGCATCCCTTGAGATGCCATGTGAATTTTAGGATGGATTTTTCTTTTTCTGCAAAAAGTGCCATTGGGATTGCATTGAATTTATAGATTGCTTTGGTTAGTTTTGACATCTTAACAATATTAAGTCTTCCAATCATGAACAAAGGATGTCTTTCATTTATATATGTCTTCTTTAATTTCTTTCAACAATGTTTTGTATTTTTCAGCATACAAGTCTTTTACCTCATTGGTTAGATTTATTCCTAAGCATTTTATCCTTTCAGGTGCTATCGTATTCCTTAGTGTATATACCTCATGGTCTTTGGGATCAACTTGAATTTGTTCATGTAATGAGGATAGTCCTAGAAAGTAATTTAGCTCCTGAGAAAATCTGGCTTAATATCTTGGGTTAGGAGAATATTTTTGTTTATTGGTTGAATCTCTCTTGAAAATGATGGATTGCTTCTACTCAGGGGTTATGTATTATGTATATACACACATAAATATTGCTCTCTTTGGGGTTCACAGATGAGTGCTGCTGCTAGATTGCTGTGCATAAATGTGCATGTCTGGGAAAGGTGGGCAGTGTGAGAGACAGGAAGCCAGACTGGCACAGACTAAAAAGTTGGCCTTGTATGGTATACAAATGTATGTACTGTGTAATTTTTGCTCATTAGAATAAACTTGCTCATTGAAATGCTGAACAAGATGCATATTCTCTCAGGTAAAGTCTTCATCGATTTTGTCGCATGTCTTTGGGGAGGTTTGATGTCGAAGCCTCAAGTTTTGGGGTTCTATTTGAATGAGATCTTCCTTTGAGATCTATGGACAGATATGAAGGATAACTGACTTTCAGTGCCCACAAATTGTTGAATGATATTTGTTCCCAAGAGGAAATTTATCTGGTAGAAGCGTATGTAAGGGGAAGAAGTGAGAGAAGATTGTAAATCGGGTTTTAAGGTGAAACAGCCCTGTTGTCTAGTTTGCCCAGGACTGCACTCTCCCGGTCAGCTGAGGGCTAGAGCTGCCTGAGTTTACTGAGTTGACAGGGTAATTGATTCTCTTAACGTGATCCTGGGTGTCTCTCTGTGAGAAGAGATCCTGCGTAGTCGTCTTGGATAAATCTTTTTTCCTTTCCCCAGATAAACACTAGAGGGTACAGTTTTGTTTTGGTAAAGATTACCCTTATGGAAAGCCAGATAACATCAGGAGCTTATTTTTAGAAATTGTACTCTTGTGGTATATGCTGTTCTCCAGTATAATAAATACTTATAATTATTGCTGGAAAAATCCTGGCTATATGGACTTCGAAAGCTTTTTTTGAAGAATTTGTCTTATTTTTCCATAAATTTTCTCTTTATAACACAATCTTGACAATTCTTTTTAGTGTCCTTTGTTAATGGTCACTTGCCTCTGTAAGCACCCTGGATGAGTGATGTGTGAAACTCATGAAAAGGGGCTCTATACTATTAGCATTCATGGCTTGCATGTTAAGAATAGTACTGTTTGTGAATCAAAAAGAGCACAACTGAAATCCTAGGCGAGCCCTGAAACCAATTGTGAAGGAGAGTCCTGGGCACTGAGGAATCCTTCATGGGTATTATTTTTTGCACTCGTATTTGCAGATATTTGGTCATACCTGCATGTCATGTTCTTGGAAACCTTGTGCTTGCATCTATCCAGCTTTCTTGGGCCTTTATCTTTACCTGCAATAAGAGAGCTCTCACAATTGAAAATATGACAAGGGATGCATAGAAATGTGACATGTATTGGATCAAAGAGAAACATTGGTTGTGTCTGATTAGTTTTCCTTTTTCATAGTGAATATTTGATTCTATGTTACAGGTTTATTAAAATGTCCAGATAGATTCACTGCCATATAGTAGTCAGTGACAAATATTGCGGTTCTTTTATTAATTGAATCTTTAATCCTTTTTTGTTCTACTTCTTATGTTTATCAGTGTTCTCTGATCTGTGAATATACAGGAATTCTTTAGTAATTCTGTAAATAGAAGCCTCATTAGAATTACAAAATTCTCCCCACTCCTGGTTTTAAAGGAAATTTTGTTTTTTAAATTAATTAATGTGGAAATACAGTATAATTAGATGACACCATTGTAGTGTTGATTCTGATTCTCTGCCAATCAGTGTTACATAAACTTGTGTTTTATTAAGTACAGATAGCAATATTAAATGTTGTGGAAATAATAAACGTATAGAGGTTGTAGATTTTACATGTTTTTTTTTTTTCTTTTTTTTTTTTTTTTTTTTTTTTTCCTTTCTAGGACAAGAAGATAATCAAATGAAATTCTCAGCTATGCCCTCAGTAACCAACCACTTCCCTCAATCAAAGCAGGGCATTCCGGGGAAATTGGAGCCTGATAGACCTGATGATTCTTCTAGTTGTGCTGAGAGTCAAGAAGAAGCTCTTTCTTCACCAGAATCAGGCTCATGCATTAGGTAAGAAACTCACAGTAACTGACTATTTTAAATTTCTTTCCTGCGCACACTAAGATTTAGAAAATAACTTTGGGGCACAGTGCAGTTCCTCAGTCTTCCTCCGTTACGGTCTCCTTTTGCTGCTTTGTAACTTTCACAGTGATAGCAAGGCAGGATGTGGGAGAGCATGTGCAGCAATCACAGGGTGGCTTCGTTTTCTACTCTGTAGCCTTTAAGTAGATATTTCTCCTGGAGTTGGAAAAGAGAGCATGATAGGCAATGAAATTTTTGTCAACATAATGAGTGAATGAAACAAAAACAACTGTGCTAGAAAAGAGTGATGACCAGAAAGACAGTAGTGCATGGGAGAGTAAAACAAAAAAAAGAAAAATGTAATTGAGCAAGTAGAATCGATGGGGAAATTTTAAAAGTGAGAGATTTGGAGGTGAATCATTTTCCGAATGATTTTTTAAAAGACATTTTAAAAAGATGTATTATTAGAGGATGTAGTTTTTTGATATACTCGTGATTGATTTGATATATACCATTTTATGTTGGCGTTTCACTTTATATTATAAATACTACCCATGTTTCTACCTCGTCTTTATAACGTGTGTGTGTGTGTGTGTGTGTGTGTGTGTGTGTGTATGAATGCAGTGTTCTCTTATATTTCTGTATGATAATTGACCAAACTCTTCAATTTCTGTTGGATATCTCTTGGGTCGTCAGGAAAGTCATGACACATTTTTGTATTGAAAAACATAGAAAAATATGTCATGACTTTCCCGACAACCCAATACCTTTCCCCCAGTGTTGTACTTATATACCTAAAGCTGTGGTAAAGCTCTCCTTACATAATCTTTGATATTTGTCCAATATTTAAAAATTGTTAACAGTGCTATAGAATGATAGGTTATGTCTAATCTGGATCATCAAATTAAGAAGAAGGAGCATACCCAGAGACCCTCTGCTTTCCTAGCGTTCCAGTTTCAAGTTATTCAGAATCAAGTATTAGGAAGGAAAAATCTTCTCACCTGACTCCTAATGTTTTCAAGGTCAAAAACATTGTATCTCAAGTTGGGGAAGGGAAAAAACACATGGTAGCCTGAGTTTTCTCCGAGTGTGGTACTACTGCATAGTTATTCTAGATAAGACCATTTTTGCAAGTTCAGTGGGTAGTGTTTATTTTTAAACACAAGTCTTATAGGAATACATGGTAAAAATGGAGGAACACTAGAGTCCAGGGAAATAAGAATTTCCCTGGTTTTCAACCACAGTCACAGGATGCCTGAATGTTTTAGAATACCAGGGTGAAATGGGACATTTTTATGAACTTGGAATGGGAATGGAGGAACGTGAAAGGGGAAAAACATGGCAGCCCGTGTATCTATCTGGTGGTAAGAGAATGGGAAATAGGACGAGTTTGTAGGAGGTCTTGGCCTCAGACAGACTATTGGCATCACTGAACTGTGAGAGGATTATTAAAACATTAAAATTTTAAAAATTTAAGCTTTTATATTTTATTTCACATTTTAATTAGTTATGCATGTGTGTATATGTCCATACACACACACCCACACCCACACCCATACACTCATGACCAGTATAACTGCCTCCTGTTGCCGATTTTTAACAGCTTTATTGAGTCATAATTTAGATACATAATTTAGTTCAGTCATTTAAGTGTACAATTCAATGGTTTTTAGTATGTTCACAGAGTTGTACAACCATCACCACAATTTTAGAACATTTTTATTATACCTGTTAACCGTCACTCTTCATTTTGTCCCAGCTCAGCCAGCCCCTGGCAACCACTAGTCTATTTTCTGTCTCTATAGATTTGCTTATTCTGGACATTTCACATAAACAGAATCATATAGTATGTGGTCTTTTGTAACTGGCTTCTTTCACTTAGCATAATGTTTTCAAGGTTCGTCAATGTTGTATCATGTTTCAGTACTATATTACTTTTTATGTGGAATAATATTCCATTGTATGGACATATATTTTATTCATTTATTAGTTGATGGACATTTGGGTTGCTTCTAGTTGCAATTTTAACAAGGAAAAATTCACTAAGTTTGCTTGTACACTTTGGAAGCTTAGCTTTAGAGACCACATATAAGGATTTGCCTGGCTTGCCTTGAGAAAGTGGGCAGTGTCTATTAGTACTCATATCTCAAGTATGAATACATGTTGGACATATTGTAAATATTAAATATGTTAATCTTTAAATTTTTAATTTTTGTTCTTTTTTATACGCCCCCTTTCATTTTCCTGTCATTTTGTCTAAGATTTTTGAGTTTAAAGGTGTAGTCTCTTCCCTATGAGTATATAAGACCTAGAAACTAGGCTAAACTAGAGTGGGAATGAAGTGAACCTTAACTAGTATTTGGTTTGAATCAGGACAGACCACTGCAAATCATACAGTAGTATACTGCGGGGAGTAAGTATGCAGTGGGAAGCAGCTATGGTGTAGTGGGAAAAGTAGTAGGCTCACAGCTGAATGGTTTTGGGTCAGTGTCTGCTGGATGATTTAGGATTCAGTCTTTTGAAGTCTGTTTTCATATCTATAAAAAGCATATGAAATAGATCTGTTCGGAAGATGAAATGATATGGATGTGAGAGTCTTTGATAAATATATGATTATTAATCTACTTTTATATAGACCAAATCAATTAAATTTTCTTCAGTACTGCTGCCAAACTTGTGATTCTATGGCTGAACATTTCAGAAATGCTTTTACAGCCCTCAATTCCTTCATTCTAATTCTTAAGCTATATCATAGCGTAAATCCCACAATTTATCTTTTTTTTCCTATTTCTATCCTGAACTTTGCTAAAGAATTTGGGCTCAGCTGGGTGCTTACTACTGAGCACAGTCTTCTAATTTACTCCCTGTTACATTTCCCACGGCACCTATTCCAAACCAGTTGCCTGTCTGTGTTTTCTCAATTTCAGTTGGGCCCTGAATATGAAGACATTTAAGGAATACTTTAATCAATTTATCTCAGTTCTTTTTTTATATATGTACAACAGAGATGTAAGATAAAAACCTGTGTCTATATACGTTTAAAAGAACTTTCTGGATTGTAAAAATTCTTAGGAAAAAGGAAGTATTATAGTTAAATTGACCTCAATTTTTTTCTCTCTTAGTGACATAAAATAATTGTTCATGTGGCCATCATTGTTGTTTTAGATTTTTTGAAATGCAGTATCTGAATATGAAAAGGTCCCTGACTCACTTCAGACATAATTTTATCTCCCAGTTAAAAACTCATAAAGTATAATACTAGTTGGTGGTAACCTGGCAGTAGGCTTTCACAAAGTATAGCGATCCATTGGTTAGTGCCTGTGTTATTTAGTGATTCTAAAACCTAAATAGTCAAGAGATACCCAATTGATTAGGGTAATTAACACCGTAGAAATCAGCAAGAGAATTCAAAGTGAAAGGGGACCCATCACAACCAAATGCTTTTGGTAGAACCAGTATATCAGCGATAAGTGGTCTTTATCTGGTCCAACATTTATTTTCCATAATATTTAGGCAGCTGACCGTAGGGAAATGGGGCACTACACTTAGTGACTTTGTTGAGATCTTTTTCAACTCTAAAATTCTATAATCCTGTTACTTTTGACCAGTGTAATGGTTGGTAAAGTATCTGTTTTTTTTAACCACTCGTCCATTGCAGATCATGAATCAACCTTCTAAAATTATATGTATTCCTTGTATAGTGAAGTATTTCTGTCTTTATACCTTTTGTTTTTTTATAAAACTTTTATCATTTTTTCTTTTTATGATAGTTTTGTTGGTTTCATTCTAGAGCCCTAAGTTTTTTAAAGTACTTTTAAATTTAGATGTTATACATGTTTATTGTGAAAAACAGAAAATTTTGGTAACCAAAACAAAATACAATTTCATAATTATACCAGCCAGAAATAACATTGTGTTAACATTTTCATATGTACACCCTTCTAAGGATAGAAATATGGATGGATAGATAGATGAACATTTTTTTAAACAGAAGGGTCAAACTATTTTGTCATTTTTTATGCCTTCGTTCTCTTTTTAAAAGAAAAGTCATGCTGTTTTAGGTATAATGTGAGTATAGATATATTGTGAATTGTCTTTTTTTAGTTTTTAAATTCCTGCAGCCATGCTGTAATACAGCTATTACTATTATATTGTGGAAGAAAGATGTTGGTTTTCTTTGTGTTAGAGCAGTATTCAAACTTACATAATATGGCAGACTGACAACTAAGGATAATCTTATTTTAAGATCCAATAGGTATATCCAATTCCAATTTATTATTAGGATGAAACTGTTTTGTTGCTAAATTAATTCTTAAGTAAGTACGTTTTTTAGAATAGGAATTATGAATTTTATATTGATTTCTTGCTTGGCAACCTGAAAACAGATGATAAACAAATTGATGAGAATTTTAGATTTTTATACCATTTCTTGCTAGATGATTTCCAGGAGTTCAAGACTTATCCAAATTTCTGTAAATTAACTTATTGTTCTTCTTAATCCAGAAGAGAGAGCTTTTGTTCCCTGAGTTTTGGCAAGCAGAAAAACTTCATTTTTATTGTGTGCTAAGTTAAAAGATGCTTTTGATTATGACCTTAGAGAGGAAGCTTTATCTCCATGCAGAGATGAATAATAGTCATGCTTTTCTCTGAAAGAACCTTTAGGTCATTATTTTAAAAAATATTTGTGCACTTTAGTTTTAGACAAAAGAAGTTAAAAAGAGATACTGTTTTTTGGTATAACTAGAAAAGTTTGAATAAGATCTATAGATTAGATAACATCAATATTCAGTTTCTTGATTTTGATAATTTTGTCGTGGTCATGTAAGTGAATGAATGTGTTTGTTCTTAAGAAATGCACAGTGAAGGGTTAAAGGGGCATGATGGCTGCAACGTAGAATGGTTAAAAAAATAGCATGGTGAGTGTATACACACACACACACACACATACATATACACACACAGTGATAAAACAAATGTGGCAATAGATA